CTCATATGCAGGTGTCCATCTAATGGCTTGTGTACATTCATGGCAGCATTTTTTTAATAACTAAAACCTGAGAGACCAATGTCATGGCACAGTGGGTTAACACCACCTGAGACATTGGCATTTCATCTGAGCACGTGTTTGAGTTCTGCCTGCTTTATTCAGATTCAGCTCCCTGCTAATGTGCCTGGGAAAGTAGCAGAGGAATGACCCAAATACTTTGGTTCCTGCACCAATCTGAGAGCCCCAAGCTAACTTCCAGGCTCCTGGCTTCAGCCTGGCCAAACCTTGGCTGTGGTGGCCATTTGGGGAGTGAAACTGTGGATAGAAGAGTCTCTCTCTCTGTAACTCAGCCATCAAATAAACAAATAAATATTTAAAAACAAACAAACAAAAGAAACAAAAAACCTTGAGCATTGGCTCAACTGGCTAACCCTCCACTTCCATGTGCCAGCATTCCATGTGAGTGCTGGTTCATGTGCTACCCACTTCTCTTCCCACCCAGCTCCCTGCTTGTGGCCTGGGAAAGCAGCAGAGGATGGCCCAAAGCTTTGGGACCCTGAACTCGTGTTGGAGATGCAGAAGAAGCTTCTGGCTCCTGGCTTCAGATCAAATCAATTCTAGTTGCTGCAGCTATTTGGAGAGAGAATAAAAGCTTTTTATCTCTGTCTCTCCTTCTCTCTGAATAGCTACCTTTTCAAAAATAAATAATTGTTTAACTAAATTAAAAACAGCAACAACAACAACAATAACAACTCTAAGCAAACCAAACATCCGTTAAGTCACTGACTACTAATACATGCTACCAGATGCTTGGACCTCAAAAACGTTACAGTAAGTGAAAGAAATCTAACAGAAAAACATAAACTGTGTGATACATTTCACACAAAAATGTGCAATCTAGAGAAAGAGGAAGCAGAGTAGTGCCAATATAGGCCTGGGTGGGAACAGGAATTGGCTGTAAAGAACTTGAAAAGACCTTTGTGACTGATAAAAATATCTTAAAATTGGGCTATGGTATTGGTTGCACAACTGTATAATTTAGTGGGAAATCATGAATTGTATCATTTGAGTGTATTAGTGGCTTTCTAGTTGTTCTTTTAAAAGAAAAATATACTCTCATGCACATTGCTGAGTGTCCAATGCCTTGCATCCTTCAGCATCAGACAGTAAATATATTCAGTATTTCAAAATCTGGAATTTAAAAAAAAATCACATCTCATTATTTTTAGTAATGCATGTGTATTTGATTTCTAGTGAAATGAAACACTATGTGTACTTAGGTCTTTATTATTTTCCTGAAGGATATACAAATACACATGTCCTTGCCATACATGAGAAATGTGAGATCATCTTTCTATAAAGAGTAAACAATGTTCAGTGCTATACTAAACATTTTTCCCAGTTTTTCATGAGTTTTAAAATTTTGTCAACAGTGGTTTCTTTTGCTATTTTGAAATAATTATTTCCATACAGCCATATTCACCTATATTCTCATTTACAGTATGTCTGTGGCAAGTGATCTTCTTTTGAAAGAGTAATGATCACAAATCGTGAGCATTTAGTTAAATATCTGCTCTGCCATTCCCCCATGGGACAGAAAAAACAGAAACTTAATTCCAAATGCAAGAATGGATTAACTTCTCTCTCTTAAACCCTTACATGTAGAGATACTGTCACAAGTCAAATTCATGGAAAACTGTCCCATCAGAGGATTTATGATGTGTATAGTAGACACTTACAACAGTTCCAGTAATAAGGAACTGTAAAGATAAAAAGGATATGAGAATGTGTCTGCTTGTTGCTGATTCTGCCCGGACTGTGATTCTAGGCCTCACTGGCCAGTGCTTCTTTGTAGAATTTTAGACCATGAAATAATGACATGACCACTGCAGCCACTTGTCGGCATCTGACTGGAACAGTCTAGACCTGTTAAGTCATTCGTGATCCCAGCACTGCCTGAGATCATGAAAATGATCGATTATCATTTACCCAGCTAGTTCATTGCCTCACCATCCATTCTAAAACACAGACAAATCATTTTTTTACAAATCCTACCATCTCAGAGTTTATTATGGACTAAACAACTCCTGTTAAATGTTGTATTGCTTTAAAAAAAAAACCTAAAGCAGTTATTAGAAAAAATTGGATTCTGTCTGTGACAATCACACTCAAAGACATATACACACTGAAATGTCATAGCATTTCATATTAATGTAGACATTATAACTATGAAGCTGTATAACTGGGGCCTAGTCATGCTAAGACACACTCAGAAGGGGTGTTCCAATGCCTGAAAACATAGAAAGAGTATGATTTTTCCCTTTGTATATGTAATGCTGTCCACAATCTCAAAATCAGCCCAATGCACATTTCTTTCCTTGTTTATTCTATAGCTTTTGGAAACTAAGGATTATTTATGTATTCTGGAACATATACAACAGCCTTAACATCACTCAATTGCTTTGTGTTGGCCTGTCTTACTACTTGATTGAATTAACATAAGCATAAAGAGAGCAAACTGTCCCTACAGCATTAAAAATCAAGTTTTCAGTTACTTATTAGAACCACCGTTTGCTCTGCAGAATAACTCATGTTCAGTAAACAACACTTTTTTTTTTAATTTCTAGAAAAAGCTGATCATAATGGGCTGAAATGGCAAAACATGGACCATGAGGGATCACTTTCTAAGTTTATTGCTAAGTGGAACAGGCAGTACTTCGAATAACAAAAATAAAATAGAGTAACGTGTGCAGGTCTCCCAGCTTCATTGATCTTGAAGAGCCGTGCGTGAGTTGTTTCCAGTTCTGTCTTTGGTTTCTTACATATCTCTAGCAGTACTAGTTTCTAATGCAGGGTCTGTGAGCAACAACATTCGCAGTAGTAGCTGTATGGCTTGAGTCCTACATGACAGCCACGTTCAATCTGCAACTGTGCCTGACGCGGTATTAACTTAGGTCTTTGGACTCCAGGTGAAAGTGAAAAGCCTTCCCACTCATCATGAGGCACTCTGGTGTCCTGAAGGATGACGCACAGGTGTCTAAACACAAGTTCGCTCCTCCTCCCAGGACTTGTCTAGCTTACCTGGTAGAATTCTGTCTTTCAACAAAATAAAACCCAAACCAAAATCCAGCACTCCATTGCTTGTCTTTTCTTCCTTTCTGCATCATTGAAAAGAGGTGCACAGCCAGGAAAATGAGGGGTAATAGTTTCATCAACTCTGGGCCTTGAACAAGAAAGGAGGGTTTTACCAAGTCCGGGTTCAATTTGCCTAAATGGTGTAGATCTAATCTATTGTTTACCAAAACATTTGTTAATAAATCCGAGGAAAAGAGACAGCTCCAATTCATTCTGTAGCTGATTTCTTGAGAACTAGTTCCTTGAATTCTACAAGAAATCCTAAGCCATGTTTATCTTTAGAAAAAATTCTGAAAATTGTGACACAATTTTAATATCCCCATTCTAGTTCACTGGGGCTAGAAGACCAACAGTTTCCTAAAAATTTAAACAGTAAATTACAAGTATAAATACTCTTACTATGGCATCCATCCTCTTAAACTGCAAATCCCTTGGAATATCTTAAATTCCTTTTGTTACATCCATTACTAAAAGAAAGAGTAATGGCTGAGAGTAAGGTTTTTGGAATCTACAGTAGCTGATTCAGTCTCTGCTGTTAACTATTGGTGGTGCCATGGGGAAGGTAACACCGGTTAACATATTATAAGGATGAAACGAAATAACGCCAAGTCAAACTACTCAACACAATAGGTGCCTAAGAACTCAAAGAGTTTAAAAATTTTTTTTAATTTATCATGTTTTCCAAAAAAAAAAAGTGAAGTAACAGACAAGTTTCCAAATTTTCAATTACGACATGTAAAGAAAAAGCTTCTAGATTTTTAAAATGTAGTATATTTTTGTAATAATGCAATCACTCTCACATGCAAATCAGCTCACAGTCTTTTACTGACAAAGCAGGGTGTTATTTGTAATTTTGCTTTAAATTTCAAGCACACTGGTTGACACTGTTGGAAACATTGTGGCAAGCGGTGCCAGGGCGCAAAGTATTTTCTCAGGAACCAGCGTTCAGACATCGGTTTCCTCGGGGGTATTGGAAAGACGTCCCCTCTCCTCCCCGGGACAATGGCAAGTCGCTGCCCCGACCCTGCGGGAGATGGGTGACCCTGTGCAGGGCACTTGGCGCCAAGGGCCTGCGCGGAAGAGGACACCGTGCGCCAGGCGCGGAGGAGGAGACTGAGGCGACCCCGGTTCTCCGCAGGCGCCGACCCAGGGCTGAGGCCGGCCCCTGACGAGGGCCCTCTGGCCCTGGCCCTGCACTGGCCCTCCCGGGCGCCCCTCGCCGCCCAGCCGGCAGGTCCAGGCCGCCCGGCCCCGCCCGCGCCGTCCCCAGCTCCGGCTGACACTGGAGTTGGTACATACGGGAATGCGCGGAGGCGAGCAGGAGGGTGAGCGCTATTTTAAACATGGCTTTCCCTCTCCCCGAGCTCAGAGCCGCCGCGCCGTCCCCAGCCGTGGGCACAGCCTTCTTGGGAATACCCCCAAACATCTGCCTGGATTGTTTCCTCTACTTAGCTTCCATCTCCCGGTTTTGATCTTACTTTTCCTCTCGCGGCGTTCCCTCCGCACTACACAAGCCTGCCAGTTTGCCCAGAGGAAACTCTCCTGAAAGGGGGTGCGGTGGGGGGAGGGAATGCAAAATCGGTTCTGCTTCTGCTTGTCGCGGGAGGTGGAAACCATTCCCTCGAGAATGAGTTCCTGAAGATGGGGAACCGCGTCGTCGGAAAGTAACAGTCACACAGCGGCGCGGGCGAGTCGGATCGAGGGAGGAATGTCTGCAACAGGCACCTGAAAACCAGCGTGCAGAAGCAAACACATCCGGATCCCCGAGTTCCTACCGTGCGCAGACGGCGCGATCCATTGCCATGACAGGATTTGTGGTAAGCAATACTGGGAGGCCATCGGATATCTGTTTGCGTAACACTTACCTTTCTCTTCGGCATAATGGCTATGAGGGTGCAGCCAAAAGTAAAGCAACGGGCTGGAGCTGCGGGCGCCGCCGCTGGATGCTGCCTCTGCCGCCGCAGCTGCTCACGCAGGGCCCGCGAAGCCCGGCCCGCTCCCGCCCGCTCCCGCCCCGCACCTCCGCCGTCCCTCCCGAGCCCCGCGCTCCCTCGCCCGCCGCTTCGCCAATGAGCAGCCCCGCCAGCCGGCCGCGAGGCCCCATAGGCTGAGGCTGCGTTCTAAATTCCGGGGGAACACGCCCACCGCCGAGCGCAGGGCGCGCTGTTGTAGTTTCCACTTGGCGGAAAAAAAAGTCTGCCTGGAGACTGAGCATGCCCAGTTCAACTGGTAGCTCCCGGGCCACACCATCCTGGAGTTTCATTGTTCCGCTTCTCGTCTTTGCATTGTGTTAGTAGTAAGATTGGTGTCTTCCTGGAAAGGAAAGGAAAGGAAAGGAAAAAGAATACGGATGAACGTACTAACTTTGTAGTGTAAATATATACAATGCAGGTATTTCAGAAATTTTCTGCCCATAAAGGCTTAGGATGAATATTACATGATGATGGAGTCCAGTAAAAGGGAAGAAGTTCTGGAAGAGCGTGGCAACTGAAGATCTTGTTTCTCCCCTTTGAATGTCTAGTGAGAGTGGTCCTGGTTACGCCTTAGGCCTAATTTTGTACTCTTTATGATTGTAGGCCTTTGCATTTCAGTCAATTCCAACCCAGTCATGAAGATGTTTAAAATAGAGTTGTTAGAGAAATTAGGAGAAAAATGAAAAAAAAAAAAAGAAAGAATGTTTGCTCAAAGTTCCGTAAGGAGGTAAGTATATTTTGCAAAAGCATTGCCAAATTCCTGACCTGAGACCAGTGTTACAATGATCAAACTAAGTGGAAGTCCTCAAAAGGAGAGCTATAAATCAAGATCCGTTATAAGCATATGTAGGAAAGTAGTGAACAAAATCTTAATTAATGAAATTCAACATTTAAAAGAATAATCCATTATGACCAGTGAAGGTTATCCTGGAAATACAAAGCTGTTTTAACATCTGAAAGTCAGTCAATATAATACTTTACATGAATAGAATAAAGGTAAACAATGTTTTGACAGCCACAGAAAAAAATGCTGAGAAATTGGTTAACAAATTGTGGTAACAATGTACTATGGCGTATGATTCAGTAACAAAAGGATTAAAGTAGGCACCTAGATGAAAAGCAAAATCAAAATGTTGCAGGAAATTAGTTAATTGCCAAAGACCTTACTGAATGCTTTCAATCACATGAAATTATAGCAAAATTATATTAAGATAGTTTCACAATCTTTTTGGAAAGCAAAGATCACATAATAGGAAAACATGATAAAGCCTATAATCACATACTGGTCACCAAGGAGCTGCAGCCAGGTATGTACAAATCATCAAACAATTAATGTTACTATCTTACTTTTGCTTTGTTAATTTTCAGAATAAATGAACTGGCATCCTAGCAAACTCCAGAGATGGTCAATAAATTTATTGAGAATTATTATGCACTTACAGCTTTTTCTATACTTGGTGTGCATCTGTGCTTTAGTCTGTTGCTATTGAAAATTATAATGCTAGTTTTGCTCCATTTTCAGTCAATGAAGAGACTGAATTATGTCCTTTTGACATGATTTCAATTATTTTAGGTAGGTTTATTGCTGGAAGGAATTTAGGAAGTAGCAATTCTTGTATATGCAAAAGAATTAAAATACCAAGATTTCATAGCTCTAGAGCTGGATAAAATTTACAAGTTAATACTTTTACTATTAAAAGCACTTATAATGTGTTAAGTGCTTGATAGCTTAAAAAAGACAATGAATAAGTTATGTGTAAAAAAGTTGCTGGATAGCAGTAGAAATTTGGATTGAATTATTGTTTCTTTTTATGGACACAGAAAGATATCACAGCAAAGTTGATTTTTTTGTCACCTCCAGTGAAAAGTAATTCACAGAGTGGAGTCTTTAGTTAATACTTTATGAGACCAATATTCACTCAAAGTAACAGCAAGCACAATCAAGTAAAGCCCCCCCCCAAAAAATAAACACAAACCCTGAAAATACGAACAACAAAAAAATACCAATGCGTTCAATGTACGAAATAGAATGGCTACAGTGAAATTGAATCTTTCTAGTTGGATAAAGAAAGCTGATGGTGAGGATCTTGGGTCGTTTGAGTCTCAGTTCATTTATTAGAGATGAAAATATTAGCTTTGGTTAAAAAATAATAGCTTCATTTATTTTTCCTTTGATGCGGATTGCATTGAGAAGGACTCTAAGGAATAGAATGTTCTCCTGTGTACTTTTAGTAGTCTTCAAGTTCTGAAAAAATTAATAAAATCTTCCATTGGTGGCCCTGAAGGCAAGAGTAGGCAAAGAAAATGATTTGGAACCCTGCTAGGATCATAGGTTAAGTAAAAAACATCTGAATGGAAATGGATTACCAAATGCCAGACCACTGGGAAATCAATCTGGTAGCAAAACTCGTACTGAGCATTCCTACTGCTTTATTGTGCCAAGCTTGAAGAGCCTAAAAGCTCCTGTAAGGGCTAGGTGTACTGTGTTAGTTAAGATCAACAAAGGATAAATCAAGGAAGGGATGAGGTGGGGGTAGGAAACATTATCAAACAAACTCTTTCTCTGCATCTATAACATCTTTCTTCTTTTTTCCTTATCAAAACCACTGGAATCATTCAACATCTTGTCATTTTTCAAATGGCAAGGTAAAACCATTAATAATGTTGTGAGTATCATCGCAGTGGACATCAAGGAGGAAAACGGGAAGGAGGAAGAAAAAGTGCAGGGATTAAGAACTATCACACAGCACTTCACTTTATAAAGATGAGTAGTGTTTTACTTGCAGATCACCTCCCTCCTCATTTGTCCCTCCTTCTTTCAGGCAGGGACAGGCAGTCACTTTGGATTTTTGCTTGGCTTAGTGACAAATTACGGGAGATGTCAGATCTAGAATCTGCATAGCATTGCTTCTGAAAGCTGTGTAATGCAGGATGAGTTTTGATTCTTCAGCAAAAAGGCCAATGAATTCCAATGTGAAGTGTTTAAGAGTGTAGGTAAGAAAAATTTAAAAATAACAAATGAGGTGGAAAATTACTTTATTTTGTTTGTATTTATCAGTCAAGTCACTAAAATGATTGGATGAAAACTGTGCAAGATACCAAATTGATTTGTCTGATCTTAACATGCTCCCTTTGTAAGATACCAGAGCTAGATTTTATGACGCAACCAAGACAATCAGGAGCTAGTCATTTCAAGTCACATGAACTCCCAGGTGATATGGATTTCTAAAACCAACCTATTGAACGAAGATTTTCTAGGGCTTAGGTTGGAAATATGATTTCAATCAATCTTCTCATGATCCCTATAAGGGAATGTGAGAACTCTACACGGACATTTGCTCTCAACACATATTTATTAATGCGCTACTTAGATTCTTGTGATGCATCTTTTAATATAGTCATAAAACCTTCATGACTTAACATATTCCCAAAGCAGGACTATTATAGCTGATTATTAACAATAATATTTCTTGCAGACATACTGTAAGAAAATAATGTCTAAAATCTAAATAATACCATAAATTTATGGATTCAAACATTCACCAAGGAAAATTCAAAATCCTCTAGTTTATTTTATATTGCTCTATTTTCCCTCTTCTGTCCAAAATTCACACAGAATAAAATAACTTACAAAGGTTGATCTTAAATACCAGGAAAAATATGTCCAAGATATTGCCTAACAAAAGTTAAACTTCCAGCAAGTTGACCTAGAGGTGAGGTGTCTCATGTGCACTCTCTCTCTTAAAAAAAAAAAGAAAAGAAAAGAGAGAGAAAGAAAGAGAGAGAGATGGAGTATACATGGCTAATATTCAGCTATAGTACTTGAGGGAAAGCCCTGCAAAGTAAAGGTGAAGTGGCAAAGATACTGAGGAATATGGAGACTCACAATGATTTTAAGAAGAGGGGAGTGAAGCATTCTACATTTATTGCACAAAGTCAACAATAAGGATCAGTTTAGAATCAAGGTTACAAGGAGGCCATTGGAAACTCCCATTTGACCAAAGATAGATGAAATCCTTTGTTTTGGAGAATCTTGAAGCCCTTATTGGATTTCAACTCAATGTTTAGAGCTTTGGGGCATTCATATTACTACATTATGCTAAAGAAGAATCCTAGACTGTGTTGTTACCCATCTGTGGTAAACACAAACAGCTAAGCAATCTGTCTCCTCAGCCATTCATGCTACCACACAAGCCCCCAAAATAACTTGAAGCATTGGAAAATTCACCTTGGTTATGAAAACTGCTCTCCAACTAACAGACCAGTCCCACAGATCCCTGGGAGAGTCACAAGGATTACCAACATTGATTACAAATTATGAAGCCACACAGAGTATAGCATTACTTCTGCGCAGAATCAAAACCAACATGCCACACACAACCCATGCCGTAAAGTACATCTTCAAGAGAATATTTCACTATGAAATCCACTCTATAGCATTAATAAAGGCAACTTTTCCAACATATGCAAGTATCAATTGAGGGACACGAGAAGCATGAAAAAGCAAGGGAACATGATACTGTCAAATAACTGCAACAATTCTTAGTAACAGACCTCAAAGGCAGGGAGAGCTATGACATGCCAGATAAGAAAGTCAAAACAATGATTGTAAGGAAACTCTGTGAGATACATAAGAATGCAGACAGACATTTTTAAAAATTAGGAAACGATGTGTTATCTGAATGAGAAATTCAGCTGAGAACCATGAAAAAGAACCCAACTTAAAATCTTAGAGCTAAAGAATTCAATGAATAAAATAAAAATAGAGTTGATAGCTTCAACAACAAAGTAAATGGACAAGAATTTCTGAACCTGAAGACAAGCCTTTTGAGTTATCCCATTCAAACCATGGAAGAAAAGAAAGAATGGAAGACAAGAGAAAGAGGGAAAGAAAGGAGAGAGAAAGAAAGAAAAGAGAAAAAGGAAAAGAAAGGGAGGAAGGAAGGAAGAAAGACAAGAGAAAGGAAGAAATTTTGAGATTGTTGGGACAGCATTAAATACATTATAAGGATTTTAAATGTGGA